CAACATTATGATTTGTTTTAGTATTGCATTTGCTGGTTTCTCTTGAATAATGTTTTTTGTTATATATACACACACACCACACACACACTTACGCCTCAGCTATACGCCTCATTGCGCAATGAGGCTTACGCAATATGCAATTTTAAAAAACCGCCATGATTACGCAATACGCAATACGCAATTTCGAACATTGGTTTGCACTTCTATGATGAATTTTCTCAAACACTTTACTTGCAAACTTCCAACATGGATCCACTTCATAAAAGTTTTACATCAACGTATAAATTTATATCTATACTTCACGCCTATTCATATGTACCAAAGCATTCAAATGGTTCTGCAATCTTATTCTGGGATTGTGGAACACAAATCATGAAATAATTGTAATATTACTAAAACTAAAAAAAATATTGATAAAAACTGGAAAAATGACAAAGAGATGAAGGTATTACTTGCTAAGAGTTTTAATTGCTGGTAGAGAGAATGAAAGAGGTTACTCACTGATCAAATAGGTAAGTATTTCCGCTGGTTACATTCTTTCCAAATTTCAATAACTCATCGAGCATATAATTGCTTCAATGGCAGCGGTGACGCACTTTGCTATCACGATTCGCTTCCCAAATGAGGCTTACGAATCTCCATGCCCTGGATAATCAGAGATTCCGTCAACAAGGTAGCGATGATAGAGGTGTTCGCGAATGCTTTCTTCAAGTTGACGAAAGCATACAATCGCAATTTGTCGAAGCTAAGATGGGAACCCCTTTCTCCAGATGTGGATGATAACACCCATGAACTCAGATCAGATACTCTAATTATACGATGCAAAGGTATATGAAAAGATTAGAAGAGAGACAGAAGTCAAGGAGTGGGAGAAGATGGAGGAGGTTTAAATGTACTCATATGTAGAGTAATCTTCCGGTCAGGTATACCTGACCGGAGCAGCCGTCCGGCCTCCTCCTATTGGGGCCTTCCCGGTGGTATTTTTTGCTCAAATTTTTTGTGTAGGTTCCTGATGAAGTCTAGTTCATCCATACCAAATTTCAGCCAAAAATTCAATCGGGAAGGTCTTCAAATGATTTTTGCAAGTTAACTGGTCCGGAAAATACATATTCCGGACCAGTTAACTTGAAAAAATAATTTGACGACCTTCCCGATTGAATTTTTGGCTGAAATTTGGTATGGATGAACTAGACTTCATGAGGAACCTACACAAAAAATTTGAGCAAAAAATATCATCGGGAAGACCCCCAAATGGAGGAGGCCGGACGGGGGCAGTGGTCAGGTATACCTGACCTGAATATTTCTCCTCATATGTATGTATAGACCGAGATCGAAGGAGACGATCTAAAATTGAAATAAAAATTCAAAATTGAAAACAGAGAAGTATAGGAATGAAAAGAAAAAATGGTGCAGACATAAATGATATACGGCATATTAAAGAGGACTGTCCGCGTAATTTCCACTAAATTTTTTTTACATGGGCTAAAGTGCTAAACATGTTAAGACTCTACTTATATGGGAAATATGTAAAATTAGTCCTGTAACTTTTTATGGTGCCCGATATTGGTCATCTAACTTCATTTACTTGCATAATACGTCCTCTAATTAACATATTTGTCCAATTTCAAGACATTTATGTCGGAAAGTAATAATTCTGCCGAAAATTAACACATCAGCGCCACTTGTTCAGATTTTTTTCATATGGCCTAGCTGACCTGGACTTGAGACCCTGTTTTTGGTTCCCTCCCAAACACTCCTTATTTTAAAACATCCTGCACATAAAGAAAACACTCTCTGATTCATAAAACATTAAAAAAATAGTTAGATTAAACTGGATACGAAGTAGTAGATTATACATCTTCAATTTATTTCTTATAAATTCCAAATACGAAATTGTAAAAATGAACATAAAGAAAAAACTGCACTTCAGGCTTTTTCTTTTTAATCTTGACACTTATCAATTTTAAAAGCCTCCATTTGTAACCATAGAAACGGTCCAGGTAAAAGACAATTCGTTAGTTTTGTTAATCAACTATTATTCTTGTTTCAATGTCTTGTTAGAACCTTTAACATTAGATTTTTTTCTCTCACATAAAAGTAATACTACATATAAAATATTTAATTTTTTCAAGCAAAATTTGAAACCTACAAAATTAAAAAGTTTAGAGTTCTTATTCTGTTTCTGGAGCACACATGGAACCTCCTTCCCTCGTCATATACCAGTCTATGAAGTTAAAACACCGGCCTTCTTACCACAATGATATTCCATAGATCCTTGCCTGAGCCATTATTTGCACTTTAGAGGAACACACACTCACCTTCCTTCCATATGTGGAGAAGCCGGACCAAGAATTACGAAGCCTCTGTTGCCATTATTACTTTGATATTTTATGCCCCCCTGCCGGCCGACGCAGGGGTGCCATTGCAAATGATATTTAGTTGTAATTGTATAAATTAATAAAATTATAATTCGGATGGGTCCGGTACCGGTTCTCATTTTATGAGAACCTGCGGGCATGACATGGTTTCGAACCGGTACGGTACGGTTCGGGATAAAATTTTTGAAAACCGTTTCAAACCCCGTTTTACGGTCTGGTATCATACCGGTCTGGTTCGATTCCATGCCGGTTTGGTAATTTTGCCCACCCCTAGATTTGGGAGGTAAGGGTTAATTTAGTACGGAGTACATAAATTTATGAACTGAAGTAAAGAATACATTACATTGCATTTGATCTTTTTAAGTACATAAACTCGGCTTTTTAGTGTTAATTGAGCACACCCGTTAGATTAACATGCTAATATGGATGAGCTTGATAACAGAATGCTAATAAGTCGACGCCTGAAGATTGACCCCAACCCCAACCCCTTGAATGATTTCCTCTTGATCGACGTCAATCCCCCACAGGTCAACTTTCCCTTGGTCGATGCACCCCTGCCGGCCGACGCCCCACGCAGGTCGACCTCAGAAGGTCAGCATCATAGATTTGGTCCATTACTCAGGATTTTGTTAGTTAACTTAGACATTTTGATGTGGTAATCTAACAAATGTACTAAATTAACACTAAATAACCGAGTTTAAGTACTTATAAATGTCAATTGCAATATAGTGTACTCTTTACTCCATTTCATACAATTTGATGTACCCAATTGACTCTTTCCTCTTTGATTTGGTCTGGGCGATGAGCTGGCACGGGCCATACTAATTTTTCACCGGGCCACTTGATATTTTTACTATTTTTAATTTATAATACAAAAACAAAAGGAATTACCTTGGGACAGGACCTGGTAAGGGGATTTTATGACGCCCTATATGACCCTACTATGGAGTCGTATAGCACGTGTGACATCAACACAATCATTCACTTATGAAATGGGGTCATTCACTATAAATCCACTATAAAAATGAATGGTTGCTATGAGACCGCATGTTTTATATGACTTCATAGCGGAACCATATAGGGAGTGTTTGCAGAAAATTAAAAAAAGTGTTTCTCAACTTTTGGATTTTAAAAAGTTGAAATTGGTGTTTTCAAATGACAATTTTTTCTTAAAATAAACACTTAAAAGCTAAAAGTTGGAAGAAGGTTGACGGGTGTTTTAAACTGTTTATTACTTTTTTCTATTACAAAAGGGCACTTACTTTATCAAACACTACCAACTTTTACTTTTTAGAATCATTTTTTTCTCAAACACTATCAACTTTTACTATTAATCACTTTATCCAAAATCACTTTAACAAATCACTTTTTTAAGTAGAAGTAATCGCAAACACTCTCACAGGGTTTCATACAATTTTTGCCCTTGTAGGGATATAATCCCTTATTCCTTCATCATTTGCAATGGAGGCAAGAACTCACTATTTTCTCGCTTGAGAATATGATGGAATAAAGCAAAATGACTCATTAAACTGTCTGCGCTTCTTTGTTATGAAGCAACAATCAGTCTTTGCAATTTTTGAGGCGATTTTCACTTTGGGTCATTCAGAAACAACCTTTTTGTACATAAGTACAAGGGTAAGGTTGTGTACATCCGACCTCCCTTACCCCACCGTATGTGGGAGCCTTTGCGGCCATTTTTTATATGATGATGAGGGATATAATCCCTTAAATACAGTCTCAATGCTTATGTACAGTCTTTCTTTCTCCCATCACTATATCATTTGCGTGGAGTGGATTACGTACCAATAGTTTAACCAAATTAAACCATGTCGAGGTGTGAGATGATAGCTGGTATAAAGCATCATCAACTGCCTCTAAAAATTTTAGGCATTTCGTGACTACATTTTGGTCTTTTAAATAACTATTGGAGTATTGGGTAAAGCAAACCAAGGTTTTTAAACCCCTCACACTTGGATGCAACTAACCATATAGTAGTATTTTGTAATGTTTTTAAAGAAAAAAAGAATTTGCTAATATTGAACCTAAAATGTATGATCTTGCATTATCTTGTTGGATCATGATGTCCTACTTTAGTGTTGTGGCCATTTTGCTTTGCTAGTTGGTATGACTATATGTTGATTAGCATGCCTCATGCCTTTGTACGCTTCCTTTCATCCTTCGTCGTGCTTTCTATAAACTTTGTGTTTATGACCACAGACCACTGCTCTGTTTTTGCTTCTCCTTTTGGTTGTAATCTTTTCAATGAACACAAACATGTACATTTTGTCATCCCAAATTACTTCTCCAAATTCTGAAAAGCATATTTCCATTACGTTCTTGGAGACCCAACCGTAGTTATGAACCTTTTGACTTGTAAATCTGTGTTTTAATGCTTTCAAAGTTTCAAACTCTATTGAACATCTATTAAATCAAAAATTTTACCTTTTAAATCTGGGCAGTCAATCTTTAACCCCTCTAGGCCTCTACAACTAAAGGGTATTATGTAAAACTCAAACATTTTTCTACTTGTTTAAAAAGTATATAGATTTTTGTAATGTTGTACCTATCAAAAGAGCTAAAAGAATCCGCTCATATCCTAATACAATTGACTATCAACTAACAGTCAACGTTGATTACCCACTTCACACCTTGTTTCATGAATAAAATAATAATCTTTTTCCGATAATACCAGTTTGAACTTTGAAGTTACAGATGGACAACTCCCCCAAACTATAATCTTCACATGATACAAAGAAAAGCTACTTTTTAGGTACAACAGAAAGAAAAAAGTTCATTGTGTAGCTATGGAACCCGTTATTTATATCAACAGATTCTGTTATCATATCGTCCCACCACCCCGTGATGACAACTGAAAAGGTTACTCAGTAAGTCAGTAGTTTCCAAAAAACTTTCCAGCTCAATTAATTTCGCAATAATTCATAGTGGTACAACAGTTAAACAAATAGCATGTTTCAGCCAAACACATCCTAAAATCAAAACGCTGCCCATCCGGATGCTGATGTTGTTGCTGCTTTACTAGAACATGGTCGACTTTCAGATGGCAGGCTCTTCTGCAGGTTCCAAAAGATTAAACTGACGTGTTAATTTATATGATATGATACACATATGCATTTATTAAGTTCAAGAAATGTAGAATTGGATTGACATTAACATTGCTTATAAAACAAGCACAAAATAAATAAATAAAGAGTTACAAAGCTCATTCTGTTATATCTGCAAGTCTGCAACCCTAATCAATGGGGAAAAGGCGGTCCAATAAAAGAGGGATTTCAAATTTGTTGATGTCATAAGAAAAGCTCTAATTTTTAAAACAATTGTAATGAAATCTCTCTAGGGTTCTTTTGGAATCTAGAAAATTCTAGGGACAGAAAATGTGGAGGAAAAATAAAGGGGGAATTTCAAAGGAAAGAAAATCTGGGGGGGGGAGTAATAACTAATAAACCAGTACAAACTCAAAATCAACTTCTGATATTTAGCATACTGATTTTTTTTTATCAATTTTTAAATACCCAGTATAAAGTTTAAATACTAAGATATACTAAATGTGTGCAAAAAGTTTAAAATGTTCTGATCATCTTTGGCATTTTCACCCATTCTCTGCCACTATCCACATTCCAGACATAGCAATACAAATGCAGAGCTTAGAAAGCTAACTCAGTGACTAGCAGAAAACTTGTATGGGTTTATTTTACCAACTAGGAATCACCCATTGCATGTGAAAGCCTTAATTGAAATACATTCATCTCTTTTTACAACATCCACCAAAATCGCCAGGTAATACGAGGGAATTACTGGACATCATTATTTTAAGAAAAAATCACATATTCATGACTAAAATGAAGGCTGTTTACTCATTTTATGACTACATCCACAAAAATTGCCAGTTAAGTGTAGTGACTATCATTTTTGCACACTATATTCAAAGTAACATATTTCAGTAATATCTTTTAAAAACCTCTTCTTTTAATTCAGCGAATCAGCGTTCATTATTAATAACAATTTCCAAAATGCTGACCTATGGTTTAAAGCTGGGCACCAAATAACAACATCCAGTGTTTCAAAATCCACACATACACTAATTGCCTTAATTGGTAGTTGGGACAGCATTCTAATAGACAAAACTAAACTGCAGTTTGATTGTATCTCAAAGTCTCAAACGGCAGCATTTATTCATCATTGCACAACCAAATTAAGCTACTCAATCAAGTCCACAGTATTAAGTTAGTTTGTAACTTCAGGAAATAAAGCACAAAAATACAATGATGTGAGATGAATTAACATATTACAGATATAAAAATAACAATAATGTGAAAAAGTATTAAGAAAAACATGCAAGAATACATACATTGCTGAAAGAAAACATACAAAGCTAATTAAAATGGAGCTACAACATTACCTCGATCGGAGAGAGATCTGATAAAGGACCAGCAGAGCAATCTGTATTGTCCTTAGCCCTCTTGGGCACAATACCCTTAATGGCAGAAGTCTTACGAGCAATAGCAGTGTCATTGGGAGGCGGTGGAAGAGGAGATCTGGGTTTTCCAAGCCCAATAGCAGTGTCATTGGGAGGTGGTGCAAGGGTTATGGTGTTGGGGTTCCCAGTTCCAGAGGACCCGCTTGTCAAGCCAGCAGCTGAAAGCATGCCTGCTCCACTAGAAGGTTTGTTCTTCACATTTATCCTTATAGTTTCTCCTTCCTGTGATCAAAACTATTGAATGTGTTACTCAAATGCAGATCACGAACAAAGTAACATAAAATCTTACAATGGACGTGAAAAGACTATTTGCGACAGGTTAAAAAAGGTAGCTAATTATCTATTTCATCTTCAGAGGGCTCTTCTCATCAGGCCGGCCTGACGGGCTGCCCTGTCCGGCCGAGCCCGTTTGGGCACCTTCCCGGTGGAATTTTTTGATGAACTTTTTTGAGCATGTTCCTCATCAAGTCTAGTTTGTCCATACCAAATTTCAACTCAAAATTAGATCGGGAAGGTCGTCAAATGATTTTTGCAAGTTAACTGGTCCGGAATATGTATTTTCCGGACCAGTTAACTTGCAAAAATCATTTGACGACCTTCCCGATTGAATTTTGAGCTGAAATTTGGTATGCACAAACTAGACTTGATGAGGAACATGCTCAAAAAATTTCATCAAAAAATTCCATCGGGAAGGTGTGGCCAAACGGGCTCGGCCGGACGGGGCAGCCCGTCAGGCCGGCCTGACATGAAGTTTTCTCTTCATCTTCATGTGTTATCTATCTATCACTTATCATACTTGAGCTTCTTTAAGCTAGCAATTTGATAGTCATGTACATTGTAAAGTTTAAGAAAACAAATATTAAAGCTGGGAACGAAATTGTGATATGACAAAGTTCTAAATTTCTGACCTTTAAGCGGTGATTGACAGCTGGATGAATATCAATATGATTATTATCGTCGCTAGCCTGACCATCGCCGGCCTCCTTCTCGGTGTCTCTCTTAACGTACTTATCGTGATCCGACAATGCGACATTGAAATCAAAAGCCTCATTCCTCTCGTTAAAACCTAGGCCGACGAACGCGTGCTTTCCGCGGCCATCCTCGATCTTCAGGACGAAGTACCTGGAAGAGTCGAGCACCGACTCGACGGAGGTCTCCCGCTGGCCAGGAAGCACGAAGCACGCGGCGAATAGCTCGCCGGAGTTGGGATCCTCGAGGCGAATCTCGCAGCGGTCCTTGCAGGACACGACCCGGAGGCGGCCAGACCAGATCTTGTCGGACTGAAGCCACTCGCCGCACTTGTAGCCGCCACTGGTGGAGCGCGGCGGGATTTTGAAAACCGAAACCTCACGCACCACCAGAAGCGTGTGATCGAACGACTCCTCGTCCTCCTCAAAAGACATCGTTTACGTTCTCAATCCCGAATTAGGCCTGCGAGCTTCAGACAATCAGATCCAGATGATTGATGATGGAGTATGAATTTGGTAATTTACACACCCAAAAGAAAACTTTGCTTTAAAGTGACGTTGAGCGGCTAGCTAGCTGCTAATTGATCACTTTATTTCTGCCTTTTTGGGAGGTCAATCACTCTGCTCGCACTTAACAGTCTCATTATGATCTTTTTTGTGCCTTTGCCGGTCAAATTGAGATGTTCTGTAATTTCTCCGGTTTTGATAGTCGAATTGTTCTTAAATTAAGATAAAGAAGGAATAGTCCATATCTTAATAAACTCCGTGGCATTCACACTCGATTCAAATTTTTCCTGTGTGAGATTTTAACATCCCTTCTCACAACAAAACACTTTGTTTGGACCGTGCCGTCATTCATTTTTTTCGTCGATTCATCATTGTCATTTTTTTATAATCGTGTCATCATTTTTCATAAGGGCTCACATCATGGATCGATTTGGCACTGATATCATATCAAATATCAAAGTTTATACGGAAGTAAATAAAAGAAGTTGTTCATTTTATTTAGGGAAAACTGTCAAATAGGTCCTCAAACTTTCATAAAAAGATCAATTAAGTCCTTCTATAGGTGGTTCTGCCCGGCCGTCGCGATTTGGGGCAGTTCCCGATAGAATTTTTTTATGAAATTTTTTGAGCATCTTATTCACCAAGTCTAGTTTACTCATACCAAATTTCAACTAAAAATTCAATCGGGAACACATTCAAATTAATTCTTGAAGATAACTGCGCATTTTTGCGTTCTCGAATTAATTTGAATGCGCTCCCGATTAAATTTTTAGCTGAAATTTGGTATGAGTAAACTAGACTTGATGAATAAGATGCTCAAAAAATTTCATCAAAAAATTCCACCGGGAACCGCCCCAAATTGCGACGACCGGATAGAGTCTCCTATAAAAGGACTTAATTGATTTTTTTATGAAAATTCGAGGACCTAATTGACAATTTTCCTTTTTATTTATGTGCTTGTGAAGTTGTGATTCATCATAATACATACACCGTATATATACATGGCATGCGTGAGACCACTATGCCCAGTCTTGCTATTCTACAAGTAACAGCTACCAACTAAAAGGAAAGTAATAATTAGAAGGAATAATTACAAGGAAAATATATGCTCTCCTAAAATACTTGTGGCTCCAGAATATATGCTCGGCAGCCTCTAACGCATGTATGTGTAAATTACTTGTGGCTCCAGAATGTTCTTTTGCATGGAACATGTGGATCAAGAATGTCCATCTTGCGTAAGAGATAAGAAAATTGTTGATCACCAAGAGTCTTGGTAAAAAGATCAACTAGTTGTTCATCAGAAGGTTTGTGAGAAGGTAAAATGGTTCCATTTTGTACATGGTCACAAATGAAATGACAGTCAATTTCGATGTGCTTAGTCCGTTCATGGAACACCGGGTTGGGATGTTTTTACTTGGACTGTAATTTGTCCCAGACCAGACCAGTTCAAACCAGATCAGACCAGACTTGGATAATTATAAAAATACAAAGAAACCAGACCTTACCAGACCAGACCAGATCAGACCAGACCAGACCAGCAAATTACAGTCCAAGTAAAAACATCCTTGGAGGCAATATGAAGAGCGGCTTTATTATCACAAAACAACGGTATGGAAGACTTTCCTGAGATGCCCAAGGAGGCAAGTAAATTCTTTAGCCAAATAAGCTCAGAAGTAAGGGTCGCCATAGATCGATATTCTGCTTCTACCGATGAACGAGAAACAGTGGCTTGTTTTTTCGTACGCCAAGAAATAGGAGAATTACCAAGTAACACAAAATAGCCAGTGACAGAACGTCGTGTAAGCGGACAGCCAGTCCAATCGGAATCACAATATTCGATGAGAGTAAGAGGGGAATCACGGCGAAGTAGAATACCTTGACCAAGATGACCTTTTAAATACCTTAGGACCCTTATGACAGCATCCCAGTGTGCGACCCTAGGTTGTTGCACAAATTGGGACAAAATATGAATGGAGTAACTGATATTTGGTCGTGTAAGAGTAAGATAAATAAGTTTTCCAACAAGCCGCCGATACAGGTCTGGGTCTGAATAATAAAGTCCATTATCCAATTGCAATCCATGTTTTTGGACCATCGGGAAAGAAACTGGCTTAGCTTCAGTCAAAACTGTTTCAGACAGGATATCAAGCACATATTTTCTTTGACAAAGAAAAATCTCAGTGGGATTGCGGGTCACTTCGATGCCAAGAAAATATTTCATCATACTCAAGTCCTTGACGGGAAAAATCTGAGCCAGATAAGCCTTAAATTCCAGAATTAAATCATGACAATTTTCGGTAATAAGAAGATCATCCATGTAAACCAGGATACACAAAATTGTATGTTTTCGTCGAAGCGTAAATAAAGAGTAATCTGCATAGGACTGAGAGAAACTGTAAGGTTTCAAGGCATCGGTGAGTTTGGAGAACCAACAACGTGGCGCTTGACGAAGACCATAAAGCGACCGAAGTAGTTTACACACCTTGCCTGGCTGAGAGCTTGAATATCCAGGTGGAGGATGCATGCAAATTTCTTCACGTAAATTCCCATGCAAAAAAGCATTATCCATGTCCATTTGGTGCAATTCCCAATTGAGTGACGCTGCGACTGTTGAAATAGAACGAACAGTTACCGTTTTAGCTACCGGGGCAAATGTTTCTGTGTAATCGATGCCTTACACCTGACGATTTCCGCAAACCCCCAGTTGGACTTTGTACCGATCCACCGAGCCATCACATTTGTATTTAATTTTATACACCCATTTACAATAAATGGGCTTCTTTTTGGGAGGGAGATCTTGTAGCTTCCACGTGCCTGTCTGCTCGAGTGCCTATATTTCACGCTGCATGGCCGCACGCCAGTTTGGATCACATACTGCTTCCCTATAGCCGGTTGGTTCCTTGGAGGCGGAGATAGCTGCAAGAAAAGCACGGTGCGAGACAGAAAAACGCCCATATTTTACATAATGAGATAGAGGATAAAGGGAGCATGAGGTGTCCGAAGGAGGAGAGTATGCGGCGGGGGCGGGGGGTGTTTGTTCGCACAGTGTTGAGCTCGATATCATAGTCATTATGCCAAATAGGTCGTCTGCGTGATCATTCACCTTTACGAACAATTAATTCCACTAGTGTGTTAGAACTATTAGAATCTGTGAGTACAGGAGAAGCCTCCTTAGAACCTGTTGCGTCCATTTGGCTAAAGCACACACCATTTATGTTGTCAGGCTCATGTGGGGAAGCTGAAATATTATCCCCCAACACGTGTCCTGAACTTTGACTTGCTGGAGATGATACATCTAGTTGTTGTGCAGGTGCTTGAGTTACTGGAGGACATGTGTCAGAAGGATTCTCCACTACATCATGTAACCACCGTGAGGCCTCTAAGTTAAATTGAGGCGGGATGTCACCACCAGTGTCCGCTATGTCATGATTTTTGACCGCAGATGGAAAAGTTGTTTCAATGAAATGGACATCTCGTGAGACAAAGTGTCGTTTTTGTTCAAGATCAAATACTTTCCAGCTCTTGAGAATGTCCATATCCCAAAAAAAACACATCTGACACTACGCGGGGCAAACTTATTTCCCCCTGTAGGTTTAGTGTGTGCATAACATAAACACCCAAAGACAAGTAACTGATTATACAACGACACCTTTTTAAATAAAAGTTCATAAGGACTTTTATTGTTCAATACGGGCGTGGCTAATCTATTAATAATATATCCTGCTGTCAAAACACATTCCTCCCAAAACTCAATAGGAAGATTGACATGAAAACGTAAAGCACGTGCCATATCCAAGATGTGTCTATGCTTCCTTTCCACCCTTCCATTTTGTTGCGACACACAAGATGTTTGAAAAATAATTCCTTTGTCTAAAAAATACCCCTAGAGACCCTGAAATTCACCCCAGTTGTCACTTCGAACAACTTTTACATTTCTATCAAATTGACGTGTTGTCATGGCAAAACAATGTTTAAGCACATTTTGAACCTCGCTTTTTTCAACTATCAAATGTACCCCTACCGCACGGGAATAATCATCCACGATAGTTAAAAAACAGTGTGCTCCACTTGTAGAAGGAAAACGATATGGGCCCCACACATCACAATGAATTAATTCAAAGGGTTCAGAAGTTTTAGCTGTATTGATAGAAAACAAATCACGTGTCTTTTTAGCCCGTAAACAAGCATCACACGTTTTATTAAAAGGAACAGATAATTTATTCATGCCAGGAACCGACTTCATCACTTTCAAGGACAGGTGCCCTAACCGTAAATGCCATAAGTCACCTTTATCTTCCGCAGTTATTGAATGAGACCGAGCCATATCTAGACTTTGAAAATGGTACCCCCCCTCGCCGTCTACTCACAACGGCGTCCTCGTAGGTCAGTCCTGTATCACACAAATTTCATCAGTAAAATATACATCGCATTTCAAGTCATCGATTAGCCGTGCTATGGAAATAAGGTTACACTTCAGTCCTTGCACATGGAGGACATTTTTAATTGTAACTCCAGGGCTTATGTAACACCCTCAAATTTCCCTCCCAAAATAATACATAAAGAAATAGTAAAGTTGATTTATTTATTTAAACTTTCAGATGTTTGCAGCGGAATTAAACAACGACAAGGAAAAGGGCGTGTCACCGCCACACCCAGCCCTCATCGGACTGGATGTTAAGGCTATCCACCATAATTGTAACCAAAGTGAAGATTTAAAGTTCAACACTTAAAATAGCGTAAATGAACAAAGATTATTGTAATGAGACTAGCTTCTCTAAAAGTCTTCTAGTAGCGCTCTCAAGACATCAATCTTCATACACCACATCATCTGTAACATAAGAAAAATAAAAGAAACAAATAACACAAAAAAAAAAAATTAGCTTTAGAGCTAAGTAAATCCCACCCAACCCCGTAAAATAATAGGTTTGGTGAAAAGTAAGAATTTGTACATAATATATACAAAAATGGTTTTCTTCAAAAGAGTAGTAATAATCCCAATGATTTCCTCAAAATTTCTTATAAGTATTCCAAAGAATAATTCTCAAGTACAAAAGTATTTGCTTTTCCTCAAAATAGCTTTATAGCTAATTCTCCTAATCATTTAGAAGGGCGGTGCTCAAGCGTTATTTCGATTTTTGAGCCCAGTGATCCGTTGTTCTGTACGGTCACCCCGATCTCTCTCGGTACCTCATCTCCTCTATTAGAATCTAGACTCCTACCTTAAGTGTGCACACCCCCTAAAGGGATTCCAAGCC